TTAATATGTATATAAAATTATTTATTTTTAGTATTTCCATTAGTCAAGTATATGTATGTGTATATTTTTATTATGAGGATTATTTTGCGTTGTTACTTTAGTTTACGAAGTTAGAACTAACCTAAACCTTTTTACTGATGAATCTTTGCGTTTTAATATTAGGGGTTTTGCTTTATGACATTATATACTCCTAGTTAGACCTCGATATTAACTATATCAATTACTGAATTAAGTTTGATCAGAAATTAATGACAGTTCGATATCACCATGCTGTAGTACAGGCAACTTTAGTTGTTCAGTCTGTTCATGTCTACTGTAGTACAGGCAATTTTAGTTGTTCAGTCTGTTCATGTCTACTGTAGTACAGGCAATTTTAGTTATTCAGTCTGTTCATGTCTACTGTAGTACAGGCAACCTTAGTTATTCAGTCTGTTCATGTCTACTGTAGTACAGGCAACCTTAGTTATTCAGTCTGTTTATGTCTACTGTAGTACAGGCAAGTTTAGTTGTTCAGTCTGTTCATGTTTATTAGACATGAACAGCCTGAATAACTAAAGTTACCTGTAATACAGTAGACATGAACAGACTGAATAACTAAGGTTACCTGTAATACAGTAGACATGAACAGACTGAACAACTAAAGTTGCCTGTAATACAGTAGACATGAACAGACTGAACAACTAAAGTTGCCTGTAATACAGTAGACATGAACAGACTGAATAACTAAGGTTGCCTGTAATACAGTAGACATGAACAGACTGAACAACTAAAGTTGCCTGTAATACAGTTGTTGTGTAGAGAAGAACTTTAATTGTTCCATATGTTGGGATTATACATACAGTTAATACATACATTGTGTAATATATAAACTTCAGGTCATGTTGATGCTCTGTACAAGATTTGATTCATGTGGAAAGAAGGAAATTCTTTAATAATTTGATCAAAAGGGAAATTCCCATATAATTTTACCTCATCTAGATAAACTACGAGGAATAGTGATATTTTAAAAACATTATTTCCTTATTCTAAAGTAACAAACCCTCCCCAGGGGAATCAACGATGATGAAAGAACTGACAAATTTTGTGCTCGGTTGTGCTGTACAGAAACTTACCAAAGAGGCTGCAATATGTATACACTAATGTGCAACACATAGAGGATGCTGTGATAACTCTTTTTCAAGGTCAGCTAACATATCTGGATGCATTATGAATTTTAATGTGAACAGATTTCATAATATTCAATTACTGTTTTTTAAACTTATTGAAGAAAAGGAGAGAAACCTGAGATGTCATATATTATATCAGTAAAATACTTTCAAAAGTTGTGAGCACAATCAGATATTTCTAGGTGGTTGCAGTAGGCCACTATCTAAATTCCACCTTTCCAGCTGACTGCAGTAGGCCACTATTTAAATTCCACCTTTCTAGCTGACTGCAGTAGGCCACTATTTAAATTTCACCTTTCTAGCTGACTGCAGTAGGCCACTATTTAAATTCCACCTTTCTAGCTGACTGCAGTAGGCCACTATTTAAATTCCACCTTTCTAGCTGACTGCAGTAGGCCATTATCTAAATTCCACAATTGTTTTTGTAGGATAACTTTAAATTTAAGAAAAAATAAATACATTTTCAACTTTAATTACACAGAGGATAATATGTCTTCTTACTGAGTTTGCATCATTACTAATTCCTGTTAACTCGTAAACTTTTGTCACTTGTTTCTGTCATACTAGCAATTATGTTAACTAAAACTACTCTAACAAAATCAAAGCTACACCCATATTTCAAGGAAGGAAAAGATATTTTGTACTCTTATGCCTGAAATTCCTCAAACTGTTTTCCGATCAATGTGTTTATACCTTTTATTTGATAAAAACACCTTAAAGGATTGCATAAACTATGATTTTGGATGGTACTGATATGTGAAATGGTTATTAATAATATTTCAGGAGACCAAATACCAGCCAATGAGGTCACGAGTACTTTGAGAACAACTTGTAGATCGGTTAAATGATATGAATTAACCTTCAGAGTTAATGCCATTCAACAGTGTTGTACACAATAATAATTCCATGTCAGAGTGGCTTTAAAAGAAATGTTCTTCTAGCTGTGTGGAGAAAGCTGTGATCCAGATGTAATGGATAATTGGAGAAGTGAGGAAACAATAGACCATTACAGAAAGTGTTTGGTTCGTTATTAAGTTAGGTGTAACTTACACAAGATATATTATTATTAAAGGGAATTATGCCCTGTACATTTCATTAGGACTAGTATTATGGAAATGTGTTAAAAGTTATATCTCAGCATGTTGAAACATGTTGATTAACAATCGATAGGAGATACAGTACTTGTGAATTGTTGTAATGGTCCCTCAGTTTTTAAAGCATTGATGAGTAAGATATTTGAGAAGGAGCTGGTTTAAGGGATTGAGTCAGCATCTAGTCAGTTAAATTTGGTGTTATGTTTCAAGATTAATGCATTTTGGCACTACATTATTAAAATATCTTAACTGTTTGGAAGCAAATGTAAACAAGAAGCCTTTATCAATAAACTGGACATGGGTAGGAACATCTAATACCCTTTTGAGCGATTGTTATTTTCAAGATTTTTCCTGTTAAATGATTTTCTAATTAATATTGAAAAGAGTTATTAAGATGACCATGTGATGAAAGCTAACCAACGGAATAATCTGATATTCTGATTCTGGCAGAATGATATGGCTTATGGGTTAGTGGATTTGTAAAACAGTCTGCCAAAGTTGTGAGATAGAAGAGGTTTCAAATTTTGTGCAGCAAAAATGTTGTATAGCTTGGTGCTAACAATTCAGATAACTTGTCCTGTAAGGTAAATCTATGCCATTTTTCACTTGCTCGGTTATAATATGCATTCACCCTACATGTCCTCACATTTTTCTGTACTGTAGTGTCACAATGATTAGTAATTGTTAAAACAATACGTTTTTGTGATCGTTAGTACAGTTTTGTCTCATGCAAGTGAAAAACAGCAAACTGACCTTTCATTTGGTGAATAAATCACTTGGATACATAAACATTTGCTTCAATCATAATGAAAACACTTTTAATTAAGTATTGTTAAATACCAACCAAACCAGCATACCAGTAAAATAATGCATTTTAATCAAAAGGTCATTGTTTACCATACTGGATGATGGGCAGAATGATGAAAAACTAAGAAAAGAAGTTTCAGTTTTTTGTTTTCTCATTTGTCTAGTTGAATTTTTCTGACATTGTCAATGGAGTGGTTGTTCTTTGTTAGTGAAACTCTCTCATTGTTATCCAGTTTATGTTACATATCCTGATGCTAATAAGATGCAGTTCTTACAGAAACAAAGGACCCTTTCTTCTGTCATACATCATGTTTATCACCTGCAGCTAATAAAAATTTGATTACAAACAGATAGAAGTAAAATATTTCATTGAATATATAAATCTTATATGCCAACTTTAAACAGCAGTGATACAAATTTTATGTCAACTTTAAACAGAAGGGATACAAATTTTATATGCCAACTCTAAACAGAAGTGATACAAATTTTACATGTCAACTCTAAACAGAAGTGATACAAATTTTATATGTCAACTCTAAACAGAAGTGATACAAATTTTATATGTCAACTCTAAACAGAAGTGATACAAATTTTAC